ACTTTCTTTGTCATGAAGAATCATTGTAACAGTTTGTAGGAATATAATTACTGTCTGTAAATACCAACATTTAACATGCATTGTTACCTGTCAAGGAAGGTTCACATTTTTCTCTCATGCTTTGCAGCGATAAACCCCTTAAATCTAATATACTTTATAATCATTATAATGATCTTCCATTAAGATTAAGATTCACAATGGCAAAACTGCATGAGAGAAGTGATATGACAGTCCATGGTAAACTTGAATTTTACTCCATCATGGCTGCATTCAGCACTGAACAACAAAAGAGCATGCATTTCAAATGCCACCAAAAAGGTCAAAGGTCCACCTGAGCCCACTAGCCCATTAGACGAGCATGGTGAAGACATACTAACTTCCATAGCCCATAGCACACAAGGGAATGATGTGGTCACTCTGGGCGCTTGTACATGTGGTGCCATTACCATGTACACATGACAGAAATGTTGCTTTGTGTGGCTTAATGGCATCACATGTACACGTGCAAGAGTTTGGAGGGTTTTAAATGAGTTTGGATTGTTGCAAACTAAACTACATTCCATGTGATTTAGTTTGCAACGTTGCACATTCCAATGATAAAGCTGTTAGCTCACCCCCTAGCCATGGCAGAGGTAGGCAGGCTCCACAGAAAAAAAAAAAAGAATTGGGCCCCTTGGCACTTTTGCCTTCAGCAGGCTCCTGCGGTCAGCAGGACACCTGGGGCCACCTGGAAACAGGCTGACTTGCCCATGGGGCAGCATTGGAAGGTAGCAGAGGGCAGCTGGGTTTGCTGGTAGCCAGAGAAGGCAGTGTGGGTATGGTACACAGGGCGCTGGAAGCCTAGGTGGGCTACTAGTTGGCTGGGTGCTGCCCCAGCTCAGAGGCACCCGATCCAACACTTCCCCAAGCCCACCCAGGCTTCCAGTGCCCTATGCACTGCCCCCCCCCACCTTCTCTAGCTACCAGCTGGTGGCCAGAGGAGATGGTGGGGATGGTGCACAGGGCACTGGAAGCCCAGGAAGTATTGCATCAGGTGCCTTTGAGCTGGGGCAGTATCCGGCCTGCTAGCAGCCCGCTTGGGCTGCCCCAGGGCGTGTCACCACTGTGGAGGGAAGGACGGGGGCACCTGCAGCTCAGGGGCTGCTCAGCCCACTGGCAGCTCCCCCTCGGCTGCGGGCAGGCTCCAGCTCTGACAAAAAGAAGAAAAAAAAAAGGATTGGAAAAATTGAAATGGTTTAGTCCTCAGGGTTTTATTCTATGCCCCACAATTTAAATTTAAGGGGTGTAGAATAAAACCTGAGCATGAGTGACTGGTGCCTCCTGAATCCAGGTGGGGCACCTGCAGAAGCTGCTGATAGCAGTGGCCCTGTCAGGGAGGGCACCAGCCCTGCCAACAGCATTGGTGTAAGCTGTTGGGGGGGGGGGGGAGCACATGCACCCCCCTGTACCCCCTACCAGTCGCCTATGACCCTGAGGACTAAACCTTCATCAAGTGTACAAGTGCCCTATCTGGCTGCCCTGCACTACCTAGTACCCACTTACAGCTGGGTTAGCTGTGGGCAGCCTGTGGCAGAAGCAGAGCTCAAATTCATGCCACCAAAGACATAATAAAGCCTCTTTAGCCTCTCTGCCTGTCATGGGGATATGACATCTTTGTTCTTCCTTAATTGCTTCTTCCTAACTTGACTTAATTTCTCCATGTGTTTCTGGCACGTGAGAACATGGTGCACTGTAGTATGTTGCACACGTTGCAATTCCTAGGCACACATGCATGAGTAAAAGTTGAAACAGCAGTGGGCTATTGATGAAAATTTAATTAAAAGGTTGGAACAGTAAAGGAGAATCCAGAAGCCTGGAGCTTGCTTTTAATTTGTTTTGTTTTGGTGTTTGTTTGTTGTTGGGGGGGGGGGCGGTTGGTTGCACAATAGCCTTATCTCGGTGTTTGTTTGTTGTTGGGTGGGGGGCGGTTGGTTGCACAATAGCCTTATCTTTTCCTTTTTATTTATACATTTGTTTTCAGTTTAACAAAGTGTTGTTGTAGAAGGGCCTGAGAGTTATGACTACGTAACAGGGTCTGGACAGATGACACAATAACTGGAGTAATTTAACTCAGATTTTAGTCTGTACTAAGTAGTGGACATGCAACCAGCTTTCCTAGGGTGTAGCTAGCTAGTAGTCCATGCTATTTCCAGTAGGTGAGACAGATAATAATAACCCAATTGCATTAAGTAAGTAACTACCCAGGAATGTAAGAACATTTATACACATACTTTTCTGTCCCATGACTCACAAGAGATCCACAAGAGATTAAACAAGTCTGCTCCACACGCGAGTTGAGCTGAACTATGCTGCACTGCATGCCATTGTATAAGTGGTAAAATGCGCGTCAGCATGCAGAAAATGGCGGAGGTGCACCTTTGAACCAAAGTGCCTTCAATGTGTTTTAGTTCAAAAGCAGGCTGCTGCCATTTTCTCAGCACTGATGCACCGATTTTGCCCCTCATAAAACTGTAAGTGTCACAATGCCAGACACTTTTCAATGCTCCCGGCGCTGCAGAACTTACACATGTAAAAATGTCCTAACTGACTAAAATAGTTAATATACAACATTTACTCCATAGTAAATTAATCTGGAGAAAGTTGCTATTTTTTGAGGGGAGAGGCAAGGATTTCTGAGGGTGATATCTTTTATTGGACTAACTATATAGTTGGGATAAAATAAGACAAGGTGTTGAATGCAACACATTCTTCCTCAGGTCTGATCACAAGAAGCCAGGCATAGTGTAATGAAAAACAATAGTGGGAGGGGTGAGAGAACATCTCTTACACTACCGTATTATGGGGGGCAATGTTACTCCTGAAAATAGAGACTTTCATAGATTCATAAATTGTTAGGGGCTGGAAGGGACCTTGCAGATCATCAGGTCCAGCCACCTCACTCTAGGCAGGAGGACAACTGGGGTTAGGTGACCCCAGCGAGATGCCTGTTTAGTCTCCTCTTGAAAACCTCCAGGGTAGGTGACTGCACCACCTCCAGAGGGAGTTTATTCCACAGTCTGGACACTGTGACTGTGAAGGAGTTTTTCCTGGTATTAAGCCTGAAGTGACCTTCCAGGACTTTTTATCCATTGGTCCTCGTCTTCCCCGGGGGTGCCCTAGTGAACAGTTGTTCACTGAGCTCCTGATGTACTCCTCTGATATAGTGGTAAGCAGCTATTAAGTCCCCTCTCAGCCTTCTCTTCTTTAAGCTAAAGAGGCCCAGGTCCCTCAGCCTTTCCTCATATGGCTTGCCTTGCAAGTCCGACTCTTCTCTGGACCCTCTCAAGCTTTTCCATGTCCTTAATGAAGTGCAGTGCCCAGAACCAGATGCAGTACTCCAGCTGTGGTCTCACCAGTGCTGAATACAGCGGAGTATCACTTCCTTAGTTTTACACAAGATGCATCAGTTGATGCATGCCAGCGTGTTATTTGCCCTGCTGACCACTGCCTTGCACTAATGGCTCATCTTCATGCGACGGTCAGTCATTACCCCTAGATCCCTTTTAGCCTTGGTGCATGTCAAGCTGTTGCCACCGAGCCTGCATGTATGTTGAGGGTTGTTTGCCCCCAGATGGAGCACTTTACACTTGGAAGTGTTAAACTTCATCTGGTTCCGGTCTGCCTAACTCTCAAACCTGTCCAGGTCTGCCTGCCTCTACAACCTATCTTCTGATGTGACCACACTGCCCCATAGCTTGGTGTCGTCCGCGAACTTGGCCAGTGAGCTTTTCACTTCCCCATCCAAATCATTGATAAAGATGTTGAAAAGCACCAGTCCAAGCATGGGCCCCTTAGGGGCACCACTGGCCACTTCGTGCCAGGACAACACAGATCCATTCATGAGAACTCTCTGGGTCCCAGAGTGGAACCCTGCAGCCAGTTTCCACCCACTGAACTGTCGAGGAACTGAGCCCACAATCTTCCAGTTTTCCCACAAGGATATTGTGGGATACTAGATCAAAAGCCTGTTGGAAGTCTAGGTATATAACGTCTACCTCATCTCCCATGTCCAGGTGCTGAGAGACCTGTTCGTAGAAGGAGATGAGATTGGTAAGACAAGACCTACCCGTGACAAAGCCATGCTGGCTGTCATTCAGAATCTTACCTTCTGCAAGCGTATCACACACACATTCTTTAATGAGCTTTTCCAGGATTTTCCCTGGGATAGAGGTTAGGCTGATTGGCCTATAGTTGCCTGGGTCCTCCCTCTTCCCCTTCTTGAAGATGGGCACAATGTTGGCCCTCTTCCAGCCCTCAGGGATTTCCCCCGTGCACCACAAATTCTGAAAGAGCTTTGCCAGGGGTTCCACAATGACCTCAGCCAGCTCCTTCAGCACTCTTGGATGAAGTCCATCCGGTCCTGCTTACTTATAAATGTCTAGCTTTTCTAGTTGGTATGGCACCAGATCAGTATCCACAGTGGGGAGGCTGTCATTCCTGGCATGTCCCACATGAGATTTATCTCGCTTGTCTTTCCCCTTGGTCTGGTGAAATACCAAAGCAAAGTGGATATTCAGGAGTTCAGTTTTTTCCTGAATGAGGTGTTAAGCAGGGATCCCACACTCCCATTTGTTTTCCTTCTACTGCCTACATACCTAAAGGACTTTGTATTGTCCTTGACTCCCGTGGCTAACCTAAACTCAGTCACTGCCTTGGCTTTCCTGATCATTTCCCTACTTACTCCATAGCAAAGCCATGTCATGTATCTTCTCTGCTTTTGCTATAAAGTTTACTCACAGAGCAACATACTTAGAGTCATGATAACTTATCATATGAGTAGATGCATTGTGTGTCAAACCACTTTTTCATTTTCTTGTTCATAAATGATGGACCCTACTTGGATGGATGCTTACTACATAAATGATTGTTTTGTGAAACAAGGTTATATATTCTCATCTTTTCTGTAATTTATAGAAAAATACAATATCAAAGGGCCAAGTACTGCAAGCAATATAGTGTGGAGCAGAGATAAGCTGCTGCTTGGTTTTATTAAATATAGCAGAAGTTATGTCTCATTTTTACAAGTGCAATTGACAGTGAGGAATGATAACAGGTGCTATTATATTCTTAAACAAATCTGTCTACTGTGCCACACAGATCCTTTTTTCTTAAAATAGACTTATTTTTTAATACAATGTAATTCCATGGTCAAAAATGAAAAAGAAGGCCATGTACTTGCTGAAAACAGTTAACATAGAGAATTTCAACTATGTTAAAAAGAAGCCACATAATTGTCTTCTTGAATTAAATGGAAAAATCCTGTTTTGTTGGCATCCTTCCCATTTTACTATTGATCCTAACAACATTATGGAGTCAAAATAGGGACTGGCACATGGATATTTTTTAAGGTACATTTTAAAACCAATATAGACTTTGTATCAGGAGCTTCAAAATGCATATGGCTGTTGATATAAGAGATATTTTTCCAATCACTTGAGCTTCTAACAAGCAAGTATTTTGGTGTGATGTACCTATTGGAAGTTACATTTTTTCTGGTCTCTTTTAGCAATATAGACCATGTTCTTGTGTTCAGAACCAGACAGGCAGACTTGTGCCTATAAAGAATCATACTGAAGTCCATTTGGCATCTCACTTATATTTGATTGCAAGATCAGGGCCAAGAAGTTCCTTAACTGAAAATAAAGATGGATAAATAATTTAATACATACTTCAGACTTGATTATAATTATTATTATAATTTATAATTAACTCATCATTATGAATCCATCTGCCTATAAAGGAAGCACCGATCAAGTGATTAGGCAGATTGTGCAGATTTTGCAAATATGAGCATGTGCATTGTTTGCCTCCATTGTCTGTGCTCCATCTATTCTTAGTGGGGCTTAAATATAGCTTCCTGGGACCTGGGTTCTGTTTTATTTCAGAAGCAGCATCACGTTGTTGCTGCCTACATGTACACCAAAGTAAGATGTCTCTGGTTGTGCATTCTGCAGATCTCTGACCCTCCTTTCTTTAATTACACGATGAATGAAATAGTTAACCATTTTGCCATTTAAATTATCATGGCTGAGCACTTTACTGAGATGAATGAGACAGTTTACATCTCTGAGACATAGCTCCGGGCTTTCTGTAGATTTCTCTCATCACCTGCCCACATTCTTGATGTTTTCTTTGTAATGGCTGGAGATATTTTGAAAAAGAAATCTCAGATTGTGGTGGAACAACATAACAGCTTCAGAGAGCTGCAGGTATGATTTAGAGGTTCCTGAATCGTGCTAACAATTTAAAATGCTGAAGTATTTACAGCATGTGGAAAATGCTATATACATATTATACTATAGAAATGAAGACTGTTCTAAACACACACAAACTATGTTTGTGTTAACTCCTTGACCTGAACTATTATGTCTATAAACAAATAGCGAGAACAGAACATAAATGATCTAATCCAGTTAACATTGTGAAACGGTTTTTATTAATTTAATTTTTTTTAAGAAAACAGAATTACTATATAACCCCATACTAAGACAAGTGGTACATATGTATTATGGTGAACAAGACACGAAGTAAAACAGTGATGCCGTTGTAAATAGCAGTAGACTTGCATTTTACCTAACATTGTGTTGTGTTAAAGCACACCTACATAAAACTTAAGGCCAATCTAATTGTTTCCACAAGCCATTGTAAAAAATCTTTGAGCAAATAAACATTTCCCTAATGTATTGGAATTTCTGAAAGATAAACTATTAACGGAGGTGAAAATTGACTTTTTTATGCAAACTAAGAAATGCAGAAAGACAGCATAGATCATTAGTAGTAGCAAAAACCTAAGATTATATTTACTCTTCTAATAACCTAAGGTCTTAGCAGGAACATAAATCCCATGTTGGCTTAAGACTAAAATATATGGTTTTTAATTTGTCAGTGATCCCTCAGTCTCTTTGCTCAGTGCTTATTGGTTTGCCCAGGCAATACGGAATGTTTTAAACCAAGGGCTAGGTAGGTTAGAGGTTAAATAGAAGCCACCCCACAAGCTGCTTCTGATACCATAATTTATACAGGCTGGAGTTCACACTAGCAATTAGGTTCACACAGACCTTTCCATTCCGCTTTGGTCAGTGGTTGCCCGCACCATGGAGAAAACCAGACACTTGATTGGAAAGCAGCTACAGATTCAGGCACTGCTGTGTAAACTGCTGTGATTTTAAAGATGTGATTAAAACCAGGATGTCTGAGGTATTGCTTTGTCTACTTTGCAGTTCAAAAGGGGCAGAATTTGCAATGCCACCTGCACAGCAGCTATCAACTGTGGATCTGTTTCCATGCTGCTACAACACAGCTTTCTGGTTGTTGGAACAATGTTGTTCAGTATTTTCCATACCTTTAGTTTTAGAGTGTTCCCTTTTTGGCTGACTGGCTGGTTCCCCCCACCAGGGTATCAGGATGCCCATAGAGTCTCTTGGTAGCTGTTTCTAGATAAATCGAGAGGACAGGTAATAAGATAACTCCTGCATCTGAGCAGGATTTGCCCTGTCAGGTTCTATTTAAGGCAGTCACTGGGGGCTTTGGTTGCATTAGGGTCTTTTCTGTTTCTATCTGCAAGTTTGTTTAAAGCAGGTGGTCTCTCTGGGTGTACAATTTTAGGCTTTGATCTCCAAAAGTGAGTTACAGTGAAATGTTAGATTTTCTTATGAGGCTCTTGACAAAAAGAAGAGCTTTAAATAAGCACTGAGTGTTTCTTCCACAGCTCCTCAGCATTTCACTCTTCATTCTGGATGTGCAGTCTAGATGATCTATCCCTGACAATAAACTTGTGTTCCTTAGCAGTTGCCTACCTTCATTTTCCTGGGAAGGGGTTATCATTAGCTGTAGCAGAAAACTATATCCCACTATATGTCAGATCTGAGTAATGTAATATTAAACTCTACTGTACTATGGCTACAGTCAAGTCATAGCATTTTTTTGCTTCCCTATTCTTTATCCAGTATATAGGAATCTATGTAGTTGGGCTACTATGTATGGCTCCTTATGAATAGAGTAGGTGATACAAGCCTACAGTAGCACAGGAAAACTTTATTTTTTCATTTGTCTATTAGTTTGTTAAAGTAAAATGATAGCAAGATGTTTGATTAAAAACCACAGCATTTGATATTGGGGTTTCTATTGATTTGTGTCCCAGATTATGCCATTTTAAAGGAGCCAGGTGGCCACAAGGGGATGACTTGGCATGTGCTATTCTTGTGCAAGCAGGGATCTCAACAAACGTCAAAGGTTAACACTGGGTAATAGTCCATGGCAGGTTGGCCTACAGAGCCCCTCTTGATGGATCCTGTGCTTGCCCTTTGCTTCTGAAGAAAACTTCATCTGGGAGTTCCCTGTGGACAAGAGCTGCAAAGAGCTCCAGCCTTTCCTGGGACTATTAAACCAGCATACTCACAAGAGCGCTTCTGGCTAGAAGCTCCCAAGGCTGTCCAGTTTTCCTGCTTCTTTTACCAGGAACACAACAATTCTTTGAGTTCCCTGATCTTTGTGTTTTTTCTTGGGGTGCTTGTACACATGAGGGGGGTTTAGTTCCCTTAATTTGAAATGTTGGGGTTTCAATTTGTGGGCTTTTGTGACCCACTGTTTCAATTTAGGGGCTTCCATCACTGTGACGGAATAGTGATGGCCTGCCAGCAGCTCCCTACCCCCACCCCAGCTGGCAGGTTCTGCCGGGCAGGGGGGGGAGAAAGTGGCAAGGGGCCAGATCCTTTTTTTTATGGAGCCTGCACGCCTCTCACACCAACAGTTCCTGAGCTGCAAGGGCTTCTGGTCCTTTCATCCGCAGCAGTGGCTCCCCCACCCACAAGTGGCAGCCACCTGCTAGCAGCCTGCCCAGGCAGCCGTGGAGGCAGGTGCCATCATGGAGGGAAGGACTGGCCCCCCCTGCAGCTCAGGGACCACTGGCAACTTGCCCCCCTGGCTGCATGAGGCCGGCAGGCTCCACCAGGAAAGAAAAAAAAACAGTGGGCCTCTTGCTGCTGTTTTTTTTTCCCCTGGCAGAGCCTGCCTGCAAGAGCTATCACTGGGCCATACAGACCCTGAGCTGTGGGGGGTGATCCCCCACAACCAATTGTGCTGACCAGGTTGGGGGGTCTCCCAGCAGCCAATCTCACTCACCAAAAAGTGGCCACGCCACTTCTGGAAGTCTCCCAGCCACTTCTGGAGGCAGCGTGGCTGCTTTTGCTGGCGGCCCCGCTCTCCAGCTGGTGCTCGCAGGGGGGCCACCAGTGCTCCCGCCTGCCCCCCTGCCTGTTGCCTACACAGGGAGTGCACCTGTTGCCTCACGGGGTTGCGCCAGCGCTCTCAGGGGGTGCACATGGACCCCCATGCACCCTCTACGTATTGCCACTGGGGCAGGTGCTGCCCCAGCTCCCAGGCAGCACCTGGCCTGATCTGATGGTGCATAGGGTAATGGAAGCCTGGGTGTGTGGAAGCTTGGACTTGGCAGGCTTCCAGCACCCTGTGCACTTTCCCCACTGCCTTCCCACCGCCTTGGGCCACCCAGGAACAGGCTGGCTTGCTCTGGGCCAGTGCAGGAAGGTGGCAGGAGGGTGGCTGTGTGGGCTGGTGTCTGGAGAAGGTGGCAGGGATGATGCACAGGGCACTGGAAGCCTGCCAAACCCAAGCTTCTGTGAGCCCATCCAGGCTCTCAGTGCCCCATGCACCATCCCTGCTGCCTTCTCCAGGTGCCACGCATGTACACATGCATGATTTTTGTATCTACAATGGGACAATTTGCCCCAATCAAATTAAAATATATTGGAGGTGGTCTAAGTTGCCACGCTCAAATAAGTTTTGACATAAAAAAGATTGTTCACGTGTACATTGTGATGCCATTATATTAGACAAATGATGATTTCTTATCACTTTTTGTCATGTGTACGTGGCCCCACCATCACGTGTACAAGCGCCTCTAGAGAACATCCGCTTTCACTTTCACAACCTGTCCTGCAGCCTTTCCACTACTGCAGGTACTTACCAATGATAATGGAGGCTGGCATGCTACTGCATGCCAGCCTCCAGCCTCTGTATCAGAAGGGGACACATATCCCTGTCTTAATGACATCTTCATTCAGGCAGCTTTAGTCTCTTAACTATCTTGTTCGAGGATATTGGCACTGTCGTTTATGCTCTTTTAAATCAGTTCCTGATAAGGCAGAACTACTTCCAGTTTAACTTTTCCCTTGAACATCCCACTTCACAAATGGCCCTGAATATCTGTCCATTGAAAGCTTTCACTTTCTGGTAGTCTTTTTTCCTTGTTGAAAGCCCTGTTGCTAACCAGAACATCTAAATCCTTCATTATTCCAGAGCAGCGTTGTGCTGCTTTAAATGCACAAAACTGTGATGTAAAAGTTCCCAGAGTCCAAAAGAGATGTTTAGCTTTTCGTCCTTTCTTCTGTCCATATACCAGTCTCCCCTCCATGAAGAAACCCTTGTCATTGTTTTGGCAGATCATGTCTATCTGTACTCTAATGATCTTGTCCATATACTCTGCTATTCTCTAGCCCACTTTGTATATCACCATGGAGAAAACGAGTGTTTTGTGAAGGAACCCATATTGGCTATCAGAGTCACCTTTGCTTTCCTAAATAGAGATTTCTGGCTCATGAATTCCTACATACTTGTCCATTGAGAAAATTAAACAACCTTCTATCGACCACTAAAAAGATGGTTACAACAAAATCTTCCTCTTGGCAGTGATGATTTGGGGATTTTGAACAGAAGCATCTTTGCCTTCTGTTCTTGAGGCTGTGGTAATATCAGTCTTCTCAGCTGCAACAGTTCTGGAAAAATGGAGCCTGAAACCCTTGTTCTTCAAGGGTATTAGCCAGTCTGGGGTATGGTCCTCGGATTGATGTATCCTGATAGTACCTGCCAAGCTTCCTTGACCCTGCTCCCTATAAGCCTGCTTCCTACTTTGTAACACTTTTGAGTGGAGCTGAAACGGATTTGGGGTGGTTCTTCTGGTGCCCAAGATGTAGGAAAAAGCAGCTTCAATATTGCTGAATTCCAAGTGACTCCACTGCTGCCAGCTGTCAGACCCAATTAATCCAGCAACAAGTTCCTATGTTGATGCCTCAAGATCCAGGACTCACTCTTTCATGGCCTTGAGCTCTAAAACTGTGTTCCTCTCACTCTCCATCAGTTGAAGGGAGTAGTTTTCTTGAGTTGATGTGGCACATGGAGCACTAATGTCCAATACTGCTTACCCTGGGATATTTTAAATTCTCTTTGCCAGTGTTCAGGAAAGGCCTCAAAGATCATGAATTCATCTGGAAATCCCATAGAGTGATTCAATCCTCCTCTTCCATTTTCTGGTACAGCCATCATCTGAGCCTTTAGATAAGATTACTAACTTCAGATGAAGAAAGGAAAAAAATAATGTTTTCTTCCTTCCTTAACCTAAGCAAGGTATGTGTATTGGTCAAACTCTCTAGTTTTTTCTTGACCTTAGTCTCCTTTCTATCCAGATAGATATTTTATTTTGGTTTTTTATCCTGAAGGGGACACTGAATAATACCTGGATTAAACACATTGTCCTTTCATTCTCTGTTAAAGCATTTATCTTCTCCTCACCACAATGCCTCTTTCTTAAGAGAGAAGCAAATTAATGGAACTTTCTGTCTGCTTTGAGGGTTGCATGAGTGTGGCTTTGGCTAAACCTACTATAGTCATATGGATTTGAGGCTGTATTCTCACAGTAATGAACCAATTAGGTGCTGTTTGGCTAAAGAGGTTGTATTTTCATAGGCAGTGCATGAAGGGCTATGAGATCTCTAAATGTATGTAGGCACCTATGTCCTATTGAAATGATTGATACTAAAACAAAATGCTTTTGTGGACTTCTCAGCTTCCAAGATATGTGAAGCAGCAGCATCTCCTCGCTCCATTATGTCACTGTCAGGTAGGCCACTGCTTCTCATTATGGCTTCTTTCACTGCAGGGCCTGGCTGGCAGCAGAACGTGGCAGCCTTGCTTCTTGGAGTTCCTGTTTGACAATATTGTCTGCTCTTGATTCAGTCTGGTAGAAGAAAGAGTTGTACCTACTTTCTTCTATTCTCCCACTTGGGTAGTGTCTTGCTGCTGACTTAATTATTTTTCATACTAGCTTGTATGCTGTTTCTTTTTTATAGCTGTGGAAATTTTCTAGCTGGAGAGGGAGTGAATTCTGGGTCAAGCTTATATAATAACCAAGTGTAGGGTTTCAGAGCTTCTCTTGTTAGCATAATGCATTCTGTCCCTTACTTTGCTGCCCATGAAGTGAAAAGAGACTGTTGTGCAGAAATATCTGAGACACCATTAATTCTTCAAATGCAAGTAAAAGTAAAAAGTCTGAGTACTTCAGTATTAAATTACAATGCATCGATTTACACTGAATTTATAATGATCACAGATATCAATTGCATATTTTAAAATGAAAGCTTTAGAATTCTTACTTAATTTAAAGAAACCATCTGTTTTCATATAAAAATATTACAGCTTTATATTCCTTAGTACTTCTTTCATTTTAATTAGCTGTGGTTGCCTGGCAGTCAGTTTCTACATATTTCAGGACTTGATACTGGTGAAGACTGGAGGGTTTTTAAATGTTATTGATTTACCTTCAGGACAGAGAGAGCACAGCCTGATAGCATGAACTTTGCTAAGGGCTACACCTGTGTATGTGGCAGATAGGATGTGGATGGCAGCTCCTTTCATCTATCTCGCACCAACAGCAGTGTCACTAGAGCTGCCCTGTGTGTATTTCCACACCGAGCCCACCATTATTCACTAGTGGGGGGCTGAAATGCTAGCAAAACGGAGATTTTAGGTCACATCTGGCCAACCGCACGCTCAAATCAGCATCCAAAGGCTGCCGCCAGGGCCCTCCTCCACGGGGAGCTGTTTCAGTGCCCTCCACAAGTCCGTTCTTCACAATCCCGCGTCAACGTGTGGCCCACCTGGCAAAGACACGGCGAGAGCCGCTCGGCTCCAGCCCGTCCCGCTGCGGAGCGGAGAAACGCGGGGGCGGGACTGGATTGTATTGTCTGCTTGGGTGAGACCCAGCACAAAGCAGCGCTGGTCGGTCCGTGCCTGCATGACAGCTGCTACTCTGAGCTCAATGGCAGCCTGAGCCTGCAATGGTGTCCCTGCCCCTGGAAATCCTCCCACCGCTTGACATGCGGATGAAGAGGGTTTCTCGGCCCCTGCCCCGCACACCCGTGAGCCCCGGGCCGGGAGCCCCCGCCCCCGGCTTCCCCTGACTCGCCCGGCGGCTTCCGCACCGGCCTTGGCACAACCGCGCGGAGAAGCCGCACGGGGCTCAGGAGCTTCATGAGGAAAGAAGTCGCGGGGGGTGGGGACGGGTCTCCGGGCGAGGCCGGGGATGCTCCTCACCAGCATCTCCTCAGCGCCG